CGTGTGTAAGTGTGTGTCTGATCCTTCTGGAGAATCTGACATGGATGCAACAACGTTTTTGAAGAGTCTGATCAACATATGTAATAGAGAAGTATTAATATTCTGTGATCATTTTTGTACATAGAGAATCATAGGATATGTTTTTTTTTGTATAAAGTGTTTTCATATATACATATACATTTCAGTAACTCTGATGAATATTTGGTTTGATAGTGAAATTACTAGGGTTGTATAATTGTATAATATATATACTCTGATAATGTAAAAGAATTTTTCATGCTATTAATGTTATTTTACTTGATCAAGTAGGTTTTTTTTTAGTTAATTTCTCTTATTATAGATCATTATATGTAACTTATAATACTCTTATGAAATCTGACTAACGGTATATAAAAATTGAACTCTATTATGTGTTTATGAATTGCGATTCACGTGAACCTAGTAATTATTTTTGTTTTTTTTTCCGGTTTATCCTTTCTCTTTTTATCGCTATTCTACTACCAATCACCCTTTTCTTCCTCTTTCTTTCTTGTTTGGCGGAATATGTTGAATACTTAAATATGCGTTCTCTTTCTTTTAATTTATATGATGTTGTTTAATTTAACGTAAATTTCACATAAGAAAGAGAGACTTTTGAAATTTATAATCTAAAACAAGTTATATATATTTACGCGACTATAAATTATTTTGTTTAGAGTTTATTTCTTTAAAATCATTTTTTCAAAATCAACTAAAAAGAAAATGTTTTAACAAATTAAAATAGAAAAATTATATTATTTTAATGCATATGTATCTCGATAGAGATCTTTGCAAGAAAAAAAGTGATAAAAATAATGGTACAAAAACATAAAAGATATATTAAAAAAATTATATATATATATCCACTTAGAGATTAATTTATTTATTTATTGTTAGTAGAATCAAAGTTCGATTTCACTACCTACCCCTCCCTGCCTACTCCCTTTCCAATAAAATAAAAACACTAATTAATTAACATCACATTATTATATTTCTAAAAACAAGAGAATATTTCTTAATTCTATCAACTTGACAAATACTTCCACTTGATATATTTTACATTTTTTTATTCACGGAGTAAAAGAATTTAAAACACTTTTAAACTTGACATGAATTATTAGTTTCATTTCGAACTATTAACAATCTTAAAAATAAATACACTCCTATCTTATAATCAGAAGCATATCCAGGATTATCCATAAGAAGATTAAATATCTGTAGAAATAGACACATAAAATAGTCGAAAGAGGTTCGACATCTACTATATATACATATTAAATTATTCTAACCAAGTACAAATAATATAATTTTTCGCTGAACTTCCTTCCTACAAGGTGGCTCCGCCCCTGCTTATAATAACAGTGCAATACACTCTTAAATCCTCACAAAGTTTAGGCGTGTTTTATAAAGAGTCTCGTGATCTTACAAGTGTTTGAGATTACTTGCTATGTCATCTGACAGATCGGGATATATCTAAGTATTTTCAAAGTTGTCGATAGTTTGAAAATGAAACTAATTAAGAGAACAATCAATATAATCTATAAAGTTTCAAATTTTTGTATAACAAGATCACCATTATTGAAAACTCTTTTAACATATTCATTAGAATGGATGAACAAGAATCACTTCCTCCTCATGTACTCATTTTCCCTTTACCATTACAAGGCCCTGTAAACTCAATGTTCAAACTTGCTGAACTCCTCTGTTTTTCAGGTTTACATATCACCATCCTTCTCACTGAAAACATTCACAATCGACTCGTTCTTCACACAGATATTTCTTCAAGATTCGATCAATGTCCTGGTTTTCAAATCAAGACGATATCGGATGGACTACCAGATGATCATCCTCGAGATGGAGGGAAGTTTTTAGAGGTTTTTGACTCTTTGAGAACTAAAACAAAGACTCTGTTTAAAGATATGTTGACTTCGGATTCACTCTGTGTTGATGTTGATGGGAAAGTAAGAGGACGAGTTAGCTGCATTATAGCTGATGGAGTTTTGGGATTTACTTGTGATGTTGCTGATGAGGTTAATGTACCTATCTTTTGTGTTCGAACTATTAGCTCTTGTTGTCTTTGGATCTTCTTTTGCCTTCCTGAACTTATTGAATCCGGAGAATATCCTTTCAAAGGTTAGTATATGATTGTTTGAACTTTGATTGCATAATATTTTTATGACTCGAGTTAGTGTTGGGACTGGGTTGATTGATCGTATTGAAAACGATTATTATTATCTTATCTGTCAAAGTTTTTATGTAGACACGCTCCTGTTTGTTACTTGTAGTACTTTTAGTGCTTTGATGGGGCGGTTAAGATTCAATCATGATATCATTCTTTCGCGTGTTGTAGCTTAGGATGTGTGTTATTGCTAGAGCTTTATGTCGGTCTATGTAAAGTTAATGATATTGAACTCATTTAGTATTGAGATTTTAGATTCAAAATTTAGTATTAACTTAGATTTCTCGAAGTTTACACAATCTTCTAATTCTTCTTTTCAAATATCTACAGATGATAACTTGGATGAACCCATCAAAAGTGTTCCGGGAACTGAAACATTTCTCCGGCGACGTGATCTGCCGGAGTTTTGCCGCTCCGGCGATCTAACAGATCCAAATATCCAGCTCTTCAAAACAGAGGGTCGAGAAAATTCACGAGCTTATGGCTTAATACTCAACACATTCGAAGAATTAGATCAACCCATACTCAATCAAATGCGAACAATTTGCCCCAATCTCTATCCAATTGGACCGCTCCACGCGCATTTAAAGAAGAAACAAACTACATTGCGATCATCGTCAAATAGTTTATGGGCGGAAGATAGAACTTGCATCGATTGGCTCGACGATCAGCTACCGAATTCAGTAATTTACGTTAGTTTTGGGAGTATCGCGACAATGACGAATGATCAATTGATTGAATTTTGGTACGGATTGGTTAACAGTAAACAGAATTTTTTGTGGGTTATTAGACCGAATTCTATAGGGGACGAAGAGTGGAGATCAAAGATGCCTGTGGATTTAGTAAAGGGGACTAAAGAAAGGGGATATATAGTGGAGTGGGCCCCACAAGAAGAAGTATTGGCCCATCCCGCTGTTGGCGGGTTCTGGACTCATTGTGGATGGAATTCGATTCTCGAGAGTGTTTACGAGGGTAAGCCTATGATTTGTTGGCCTTATTTTTTCGACCAACAAGTGAATAGTAGATTTGTTGAAAAAGTTTGGGGACTTGGGCTTGACATGAAGGATACATGTGATAGAGAAATTGTAGAGAAAATGGTGAAGGATTTGATGGTATTGAGAAAACAAGAGTTTTTGGGAAGAGCAAATCATATGTCTAAATTAGCTAAGAATTGTTTGATGGAAGGTGGATCATCTTATTCTAATTTCGATCGTCTCGTGAAGGATATTAAATCTTTAAGTAATAAGGTTCAATCGCTGCTGAAATGATAGTTCGTCGAGCAACCCTTCAAGATAGCAGTGTCAATCATTGTTAGAATCGCAAGAGCAAACTTATTCTATTATGTACCTGACTTTCTTCATATACTATTGTTTTAGTTTTTTTTTAATTCGAGAAGACACTTAAATCTTGCTTTTGAAGTTGTACGTTTTGTTTTTATTTCCGTTGGGGTTATACACGCATTCCTCATAGTCATAGTGTGTGTTGTAGAAACAACAAATAAAATGATAATTGTATTATATTATCTCTATTTATTGAAAATCATCTAAATATTGAAAATGGTTAATTAATAATAAAGGTAAGCTAGGTACAAAGTGACGATTTAACTCTTAGATTTATAAAATTAGACAAATAAAAATAAATATTTATTTGTATAGTGGACAAGTTAAAGTAGATGGTGAAATTAATCCATATGCTTATCAGATCGGACCGACTGCTTCACGTATTCATACCTAAATTCTGAACTTATTATTTATATATATTTAATGATTTTCTTAACACAAACTACTAACTACAGTCGAACTTGAGCTTCTAGTTCCGCCCCATTTACTACATAATGTATGGTGGGATGCTGACTGCTAAATAAAAGTGCACTACTATACAATATGGTAATTGCTGGTAATATATACAAATTATTTGATTTATACCATAGAATATAGAAATATATACCAAATATTAAATTATAGAAGTTTGCAACAACAATGTCGTTGTAGTATAGTGGTAAGTATTCCCGCCTGTCACGCGGGTGACCCGGGTTCGATCCCCGGCAACGGCGTATCTATAATTTTTAAAGATACGTTATTTTTTAAACGGACTAGGATAAATATGATTTTTTGAAATAATAACTAGTATAAGTTAAACAATTTTGTTCGTGCTAGGGCCCTAGATTGAACGTCACAATTCTTATTTATATTTTACTTTTTATTATTAGTATGTTATGTTTGTATAATAGTAAGTTATTATGAAGAACCTGATACTTTTTGCTATAAGATTTTAGGTGTCATGGTGTAACTGTTATTACGTGAATATGATGAAATACTTGTTGGTATGTAGTTAGATATCATCTCAAAAATCAAAACTTTCCTAGACAAAATAATAACAATTATATTCTCCACACATATATAGTCCCATATAGAGAATGGAAATTAATTAATTAGAACAAGTTGTCTACTAATAAAGTGTTAAAATTAGTGGGACAAAACCAATGTACGAAATTGGCTTAAAGGTCTTGCCAATTACCAAAAATACAAACCAACAAAATAAAACAAAAAAAAGTACTATTAAGTAAGGCTGTTTAAAATCGAATCAAAATCGATAAGTTGAATCGATAAAAAAGTTATTGGTTTATAGTATTGGGTTATTGGTTTAGTGATTTTGATAACGGTTTTGATTTTTTTTGTTATCGGGTTATCGATTCTTAACGGTTTAAAGTTTTTTTTTAACGGATTAACCGATAACCCGATAGTAAATTAAATATTTATATTTATACCATTTTTGTATATAAAGTTCTCGACTTAGAGTTTAATTTCCTACTTTTATTTTTGATTGTCTCAAATACTTGATTATTCTACGATGTAAAAGTGTTTGCTTTTGAGCAAGATGTAACTTGTGAACTCAAGTGCATGGTTTATTTGGTTTGTCACTTTGTTTCTAAGTGATTTTCAATATTTTTTCTTTTCGATCAAATCTTAACGGTTAAACCGATAACCGAATCGATAACGATCAAAAACCGATAAACCAATAATCGATAAGCCAATATCTTAATGGTTCTATAATGGTTTAGCATCACTACAAATCGATAACTAATAAGCCAACCCAATAAACTTTAAAGTCGAACCGAACCAACCGATCGATACACAGCCCTACTATCAAGTGCTTGAAATACTGGAATTATGGCCTTGACTAAAACGATAATTGATGCACTAAATTTCTGCTATGCGCTGAGTTCGAAAAAAGGCTGAACCACTTTGCGTAAGGAAAAAAAACAAGGCCTCAATAATATAATGATCCTGTGGGACAAAAAAAAATGTAGTTGAGTTTTTTTTTTATGACATTGCTAAAAAGAGATAATTAATCATAAGAAAAAGAAATATTCTTTTCTATAAAAATTAATTTTCATACCTTGCCACCAATTACCTCTTGAAGCACAATTTGAATTGTTTCCATTTTGATCATCATCATCTTCTACATTTTTCTTGAATTGATCAAGTCATGAACATAAATGAAACAATTTAGAAATTGAGAAAAAAAACCAATTACTATACGGCGAATTTAGGATTTTCACTAAAGAGGTTTGAAATAAAAATATAGTGCTACTATATATATCAAAAATAATGATTAGCAGTAATGAATTAATAATTGAGTGAAATATGTTTTATTAGCAGTAATTAACACTTTTTTGTAAGTGTCTCTAAAGCCTTATGCGATATTGAATCTGATAACAATTAATTATTATTAATAAAGATTTTACGTTTTTTTTATTAATATATATATTTATTACCGCTAAAAATATACTTACGGTGTTATGTGAGGCAGTAGGTGGATAATAAATATCTTGGCCACCATAGTATATTGATGAACTTAAATGGCATGGTTCTGTTGTTCTATTCTGATACAATATGGAATTATTCTTCTCCTTATTACCTGTCATGACATTGATGAACAACAATTAAGAGAGAGATTTGTAACTTAAGCAAGCATATATATATATACGTTCACCAAATTATGGTGGGATAGTAAATACTCTGCTTTTAGTCAGATGTCATGATCGAGCTTTGGGAATAGAATCGCTTTCGCCAAGGAGCGCTTTCCTCGAATATGGACATTCAGATTTTATTGAACCCCAATACATGTATTAGGTGAAGGCACGTGCTTTTCTCTCGTTTCATTTTATATGACGTTACTTTATAATTTATTAGTCTGTTATAAAAAAATAAGAAAATAAGAAAGTACCCTTTTAATAATTCATTTTTTTATCTTATGATTTACTTGAGCTGAGTATCTATTTGAAAACAATATTTATGTTTTCACGAGAGAGGGGATGACTGCATGCACACCATCCTCTCTACACTTCACTTGTGGAATTATACTAAATTTTGTTATTATATCTTTAATGATATATTTTTATAGTTTCATAATCTCACGGCTTATTTTTTACCTACTTTTTAATTTTATTTGTTAAATTTTATGTCAAATTAAACTATACTGAAAAAGTAGTTTTTGAAAAAATGAACAAAAATATAGGAGAAAATTAACCTGAAGTTCCATATTTTGCATTTCCACATGACTGGTTTTTTGGATCTTGGATTCTTGATGAACCTCTAGCTACAGAGTGAGTGGAATCCCTTCCAAGTCCCTAAAATATTAATATATATATATAAAAAAAAAATCAGATAAAAAAATATTATTATTTTTTTCACTAATTTTTTAAATTATCATATCAGATTTGATACGAAAAGTTACTTTAATGTTTTTCTCTAAATAAAATCAATATACTTTTCGTATATATAAAGGAGTATCTATAGATGCAATGATGCATGCAGGATGGAGTAAGAGAAGAAGTTGTACTTGTACTCCTTTTGTTTAAGATATTTGGCTACGAGAATTAAACTAATTAATGTTAAATATAAATTTATATATAGTATTTTTAAATAATTTTTTAAAAAATAAATAGAATTAATGGTAAAAAGTATATTTGAATTAATTTTTCTTTTGTGAGTTTCATACCCTCAACATTCAGTTATTCCTTTTTTCTTACCTAACTATCGTCACATACATATTAAAGAATAGTAATAGATGGTGATAAACAATTTTTTTTTAAAAAATAAACAACTGATAGTTAGTTATAGTTCTTTTAAGTGTGGCTTTGATCATTTTTTGATAAATTTAACTAGTAACTAAGACAAATAAATTAAAACAAAACTGAATAATACCGTTGATTGTGGTCCAAAAACGGAACCAAAGAGTGACGTTTTCGAAGGCTCTTTCGGACCAAACAAATCATTCGTAAAGGACAAAGCAGAAGCAGAAGCCGAAGAACCGAAAACTTGCTTTCCCTTCTCCATGTATATGAAAAAATTATCAAATTAAACGAGGAAATGAGATCTCTTATCCACTATTGCTCTCGAACCTAACTAACTAACTACCTTGGAGGTTTGGTTGAGTAACAAACATATATAATGACCTAAACTAATAAATTACTCAGTTCCCAAGAAAACAGAAATGGGATAAGGACTTTAAATGTTTTTTCAGATAATTATAGTAGTTGGGGGGATGTAAGAAGAAAAAGAGGGCACGTGAAGTTTTCAGTGTAGAATACAAAGAATAGTGAGACTCTTATTTATAGAGGCCACTCAAAGACAAGAGAATGGGACTATTTGACCATGCCTATACTATTTTTATTGAAAAAATTATGTAATTAGATATATTTCACTTGTAAATATATATATTTTGTTATTAGATATATAAAAATAAGAAGAAAGGGTGATTGGTGAGCGAAATTTGTATGTATTACAGAGATATATGGATCACACTATATATATATATATATATTTATACATATTTGAAGCGATTTATAATAGGATATCAGATATAAAGGAGAGTGATGAGATGAGAGAGAGGCTAGTGAGATTTTTCTATGTATTTCATATACGGGTTAAGTCATCGATTAAATATATCTGAAGTAAATTACATTTAATTTCGATCCTATTTATTCGAGATACATGTATCTGGATGTAGATAAAGATAAGAAAAAATTGTATATGTGCTATTTTTACTTGTATACATCGAAAATACTATGCTAGATAATGAACTAGTTGCTTAGTTATTGTTTTTCGGATTGATTTCTCATATGATCAATAATTTTTTAGTTATTATCTCATAAACTCATATTTTCTTTTTCTAATTTCAATTTTTTTCAATGATAAATTATTTTTTTTTGGTTTTTCCATAATAATAAGTAAATAATACATAATTGAGTGACAAACGTTACATGAAAATGTCAACCACTTATAATTATATCGGATAAGTCCTAATTATACATCAGCACACTAGATAATCTGATGAATTCTAATCTTATATAGATCAAAATTTAGCTAATTCAAATTTTCATTAAGTAGATTTATCAAGAATATTTTCTATAAAAAAAATGTCACTTTAATTCAAAAAATTCCGATTAAAAATAACTAGAATCATTATAGTATATATCACACATTTCCATGATCCCTCCCTGCAATTTTCATTCAACCACTATAATCCTTTTTAAAGGTCAACTATTCTGTACTCATCAATATAGTTTGTGCTATGGACCATTTTATTTTTCTTATTCCCTATTCCATAATTTTAATATTTATTTTAATTAATTGAAGGTCAAATATCGTAGAAAAGTGTATGAACATATTGTTGCCACTTGTAATTACGTGTCATTTTTTAGGTGTAGGACTTACAAGTATCAATTTTGTTTGATATTTATATTAAGAGTTCGATTTAATTTAAATGTTATCTCGTAAAATTTTTGAGAGAAAATATTTTTAATTCATATTCAGAGTTTAAACTCGACATTCATAATTTGAAATAGAAAATGTTTATCTATTTTACTATTACTATCATAGTCACCAAAATCTTAAAGTGAGGCATAAAGAGATTATAATGTACACGAATATATCTCTCTATCTTAAATATATAAAATTTATTTTCGATAAATTATTGATAATTAAAAAATAAATAATAATAGAGTACAAAAATTTAACTAAAATAGAAAATAAAAAAAAATAGTACCACAGCAAAATAATATACTATAATCTCTAAAACAAACAAATACACTCTCACCACAATTTTTATCAGCATGTTCATTCTTCAAGAGGTTAATTTTTATATTATCAATTTATAATGAATTTTTTTAAAATTTTCACTAAAAAATCATATTTTTATCTGTATTTGTTTGG